TATAAATACTGGGTTGAAGCCAAACCTGAAAATCGCACTCTAAAAAATCAGTTTCTCTTCTAATCGATTGTTGCTTCCGACTTTTCTTACTCTACCAATTTTCTGCAACCACCTTGCTTTGATTTCGATATCAAAGCTGTTAATATTCGAAATCCGGGTCTACATCAATTGCGACTTTGAGACCGACAACTTATACGATGGTCGTATAAAACCTTTAAGGTCAGGTTTTGTACCGTGCATACTCTATTTTTACGTGCTTCAATAACATCAGGTTGGTATTTCAATTTTCGGCATTGTATTTAATTTTCGTTCACTTTGTGTACACTCTGCTTCTACCCCTTTCTTCCATTGTGTCTATCGCGAAGGATAGATTCAAACCCGTGTAGGTATATTGGTTTGATTTAGATTCCGGTCTTTAGTTTTTGTTATCTCGAACTATAAAGTTCCTTTTATAGATCTTGGTTTTGTTCCTCGTTGATAAAGTTTTAAATTTTATTTATAAAGATTTAATATTATTGTTTTCTAATCCGCTTAAATAAATTATTCAACAATCTTAAAGGTTTTAAAATGGACCCCGGCAATTTTGAATCATGAATCAAGATCTAGTCAAGCTCGACAGTTTCGACGGGAATAATTATACCCGCTGGGCGGATAAAGTGAAATTTATGTTGATGGTGTTGAAACTTTACTATGTTTTGAACCCAAACTTGACCCCTATTCCTGAAAATCCGGTTCCCGTAGAGGGAAAAGTACCAGATAGTGCATTGATAGCCGATCTGCAGAGGCTTATCCGCAAAGAAGAGGAAACTCTTGCTTGCGAACATATAAAGAATGCCCTATCCGACCGGCTATTTGACTTATACTCTCCTATCACCGATCCAAGAGAATTGTGAAAGCTCTGGAGTTCAAGTATAAGGCACAAGAGGATGGAACTAATAAATACCTCATGTCTCAATACTTGAGGTTCCAGATGGTTGATGATAAACCAATCTTGGAGCAAGTTCACGAACTCCAAGTGTTGGTTAATAAATTGAAAATGCTTTCCATAACTCCTCCCGAAATCTTCCAAGTGGGGGCAGTCATTGATAAACTGCCCCATCTTGGAAGGATTTTTCAAAATGCATAATGCATAAGTCTGAAGATTATTCTTTAGATGATTTGCTAAAACATTTAAGGATGGAGGAAGAGGCCCGAAATGGGATAAGAGAGGCAAGTCGATTTTGAGTGCTAAGAGCGTGCAGGCTGGTAGCAAAGGAAAGGGAAAGTTTGGGGGACCAAACAATGGGGGATCAAGCAAAAGGTGGAATGCGGGTCCTCAAAAGAAAGGTTTCAAGAGGCCAGGTTAACACTCCAATTCTGGCCCACATTTGAAGAGAGTCGGAAAGGGTCACGTCTGCGGAGAGGCAGGACATTATGCTAGGAAATGCAAACATAGGAAGTCCGGACCCCCAACTACGAATACAATTGAGGGCATTCAAAATCTTGTGGCAAACCTACACATGGATGAGATCGACATGCTTTCCGAGGCTTCAACCAGGATTGTGGCGAGTTGAGGTGGCCAGTACTTAGACACTGGTGTCACAGTTCATGTGTGGCACCAAATCTATGTTTATTACCTATGGACCAATGAGAGAAGGAAAGCAAGTGATGGTGGCAAACAACGACAGAGCGGATGTCGTTGGCATGGGTACAATACTACTCAAATTCAATTCCGACAAGACTGTCACCCTCAAAAATGTTCTTCACGTGCCTTTTATCAACAAGAATCTAGTTTCTGCTTCTAAACTCGATGAAAACGGGTTTAGACTCAACATAGAGTCTAGAAAGCTCGTAATTTACAAAAGAAATTCTTTTTGTTGGTAAGGGATACTACCATCTCGGTTTGTATCGCCTAAATTTGAGGGAGGATGATGATGAGGCCGGACCGAGTGGATCTGTGAGTAGTAATGTTAATGGTGTGACTGATCAAGTAGTTGATTTTTTCGTTTCTACAATCAATGTAATTCCCGACTCTATCAATAAAGTTAATCATTTGAATTATTTTGCTTGTTCTATCTCTTTATGGCACAAACATTTAGCACATACAAATGTAAAAATATTGAAAAAAAAATGCAAAATAAAGGATTGATCAAAATTGAAAACAAGGATTTTGTAAAATGTGAAACTTGTGTAAAATCAAAGTTTACAAAGAAACATTTTCCTTCAGTTAAATGGGACATATCAATTTTAGAGTTAATTCATTCTGACATTTGCGAATTAAATGGAATTCTTACTCGTGGAGGTAAAAGGTATTTCATTACATTTTCGATGACTTCAACCGGTTTTTACATATTCACTTATTACACTCAAAAGATGAAGCTTTTGAAGTTTTAAATTATATAAAGCTGAAGTAGAAATCAACTTGAAAAATGAATCATAATACTTCGATCAGACAGATGTGGTGAATATTAATAGAGAGTTTGATACATTCTGCGAAGAGAATGAAATCAAACATGAACGCACCTCACCATTTACTCCTCAACAAAATGGTTTGGCGGAAAGAAAGAACCGAACCCTTGTTGAAATGGTCAACTATATGTTGAACCAATCGGGTCTGCCAAACAATTTATGGGGAGAAGCCCTATTGACTGCTTGCCATGTTCATAACAGAATCACTAGTGTGATTCCAACGAGTCCATACGAACTCTGGAAAGGAAGGAAACCAAACTTGAACTATTTTAGAGTCTGGGGATGTATTGCCTACTACCAAACCCCTATCCAAAAAGATCTAAATTGGGAACCCGTGCTATTAAAAGCGTATTCGTTGGATATGCTAGAAGTAGCAAGGCTTATAGATTATTGGATAAGAACTCAGGAATCATAGTAGAATCCAGAGATGTGGAGTTCTTTGAAGATAAGTTCTCAGATGATGCTGAAAACTCAGTACCAACATTGACCTCTAATCTTCCTTGCACATCTCGTGATAGTTCGAAAATCTCAAATAAGGTTGACAAACCACGTAGAAATACACGAGCAAGAAAAGAGAAAATTCTAAGAGATGATTTCTTCTCATACTTAGTAGAAGGACCGCAAAAGAAAGTGACGAGAGAGGTCATTTTCTCCATCAATATAAAAGATGATCCTAAGACTTTTAAAAAGGCTATGACTTCAAGGGATGCTCCACTACGGAAAGAAGCAATAAATGATGAAATGGACTCTATCATGGGTAGGTACTTAGGAATTGTCTGATTTACCCAAGGGAGCAAAACCCATAGGTTTTAAATGGTTATTCAAAAGGAAGCTACATCCGGATGGTTCAATTTCGGCTTTCAAGGCTAGATTGGTAGCTAAAGGGTATAAACAGAGGGAGGGAGTCGATTATTTTGACACCTATGCTCCAATTGCTAGAATTAGTTCTATTCGAACTCTTATAGTAATTTCAGCCATAAAAGGTCTGTATATCCATCAAATGGATGTAAAGACAGCCTTTTGAATGGCTATCTAAAGAGGTTTATATGGAGCAACCTGAAGGGTTTGTGGTACCCGGACAAGAGAACAAAGTGTGTACACTTATAAAATCTCTATACAGGTTAAACCAAGCCCCCAAACAGTGGCACAAAAGATTTGATACGACTATCACTTCTTTCGGGTTCCAACATAATGGGGCCGACAGATGCATTTACTCAAAATGAACGAGAGGATCCACTGTGATAATTCGTCTGTATGTAGATGATATGCTGATCATCGGAACCAATCTAGAAGGTATCCTTGAAACTAAAGGCTACTTATCCTCGAACTTTAAGATGAAAGATCTTGGAGAAGTAGATACCATCCTTGGGATAAAAGTCAAAAGGTCAGCATCTCAAATCTCTCTAAGTCAATCCCACTACATAGAGAAGACACTGACCAAGTTTCAACATTTGAATATAAAGGAGTTTAACATTCCATTTGATTCAAGTGTGAAACTTGATAAAAACACTGGTAGAGCTCTACTAGAGTATGCTAGTGCAATAGGATGCATGATGTATGCGATGCATTGCACTAGACCGGATATTGCTTTCGCAATGAGTAGACTGATTCAATATACCAGCAATCCCGGTCCAGATCACTGGAAAGTTATCGGTAGAGTATTGGGTTACTTGAAGAGACCAGTGATCTAGAGTTAACATACACGACACATCCAGGAATCTTGGAGGGGTATTCTGATGCCAGTTGGATAGATCACTCTAGTGATTCTAAATCCACAAGTGGGTGGATTTATACCCTTGCCGGTGGGGGAACTTCTTGGGCGAGCAAGAAACAATCGTGTATAACCCATTCGACTATGGAAGCCAAATTTACTGCCCTTG